ATATATATCTAGATTTTTTTATGTTCTATCAGACCTGAAAGTTTCATGAAAATCGATCGAGCCGTTCTCGAGAAATCGTGCGTACAAAATCGGTAAGAAAAAAAACAATAATAATAAAAATAGTGGAAAAGAAACCTAAGAAAAACTAGAGCAAAGCTCGTTGCAAAGCAACGAGTAGGTCTTCCGTCCTGTTTTGACCGGAAGTGACGTCAACAAATGAAAGCAAATGAGCTAAGTGGTCTCCATTGACTTTATAATTTTGATTTTGAATTTAAACCTTCAAAAATAAGCTATTTTGGCTACTTCCGGTCACTTCCGGTTTGACCGGAAGTAATGTCAACGGACAGAAAATGAAGTTTTATGCTTCCAGATACATATGTTACCCAAAAATATGTCAAGAACAGCAAAAATATGCATATTCTGACGACTTCCGGTATGACCGGAAGTGACGTCGCCTGACGCATTTTGACGACTTCAACAGATTAATCTTGACATTTTGAACAACTTTGCTTTTTAGACGTATAACAAATTCTCAATACTTTTTGAGATATAAATGAAAAACTTTCGGCCCCTCTAGGCCCTTTATTTTAGGGGCCAGCCCTTTTTACGAGATATCATTTGAAAGATCATGTAATTCTGCACTTCTTTTGTTCTATATGTCTTAACAAAATATTTGTATGTGAAAAGATATCGAAGAAAAAGTGATAGAAATTTTAAAATTCTCGACATGCCCATTTTTGGACCATGGCAAGCGTCGGCGTGCAGCACTTCCGGTAAAAATAAAATGCGTATGTCACATCTACAGACATTGCTCTATCATTGCTCAAAAAACTCAAGTTTCTATCTTAAGCCGTTTTTGAGAAAACACGCGGACAAACTGACCCCCTGAAAATCACTAAATCGCAAAAATCTCAAAACCGGAAGTGACGTCATCAAAACAAAAAATTATATATCAGCTTTGTTTGATGCTTTATCAGTCCTGAAAGTTTCATGAAAATCGAGCGAGCCGTTTCTGAGAAATCGTGTACACAAAATCGGTAAGAAAAAAAAACAATAAAAATAATAAAAATAGTGGAAAAGAAACCTAAGAATAACAAGAAGGTCTTCCGCTGAAGACGGAAGACCTTAACAATAAGGTCTTCCGCTGAAGACGGAAGACCTTAACTAGATGAGATCTCGTTGCGAGCAACGAGTAGGTCTTCCGTTGAATTTATCGATAAGATGAGGTGAGATTTTGACTGAGATATTCGTAATAAGGTAATGAAATTAAGTTTTCCATCATTAAATTTAATTTTTCTGATTTATATCACAATATTTTGAGCATCTTAAGTTCAATATGGCTTATAATTAAAATAATCCTCCTTTTTGAGATGAAAGCATCTAAAATATAGAGTTTTGGCCCCTTGCGACCCCTTATTACGCAACAGCAACATGTAATCAAAATTCTATAAAACGTTGTTGCAAAGCATTAAGATGAATATCTTTGCTTCAGTAATGTATTACAAAATATTTATTATTCATGAGCTAAAGATGAAAGACTTCTGGCCCCTCTGGGCCCCTAATTTGAGGAGTCAGTCCCTTTTTCTTGATTGTAAATGAAAAGTCTTGTGAAATCAAAGACTTTTTGTTTAACTTCTATTCAGAGATTTCTTTTCGTTGTGGAGATATGCTGAATGGAAATATTCAACGGCTACATCTCCAAGTCCTTAATGGGGCCGTTTTACAAAAATTTGAAGTATGCATATTGTTTAAAACATTATTCTGATCATCTTTTGTTCAATATTGCTTATCAAAATATTCGCCCTTTTCGAGATATAAAACCTCAAAGATTTAGCATTCTGACCCCTTGTGACCCCTAATTACGTAGCATATGATTAAAATTGTATCATATTTTGTTGCAAATTGTTAAGATAAATACTTTTGTTTCAGTAATGTATAACAAAATATTGATCATTAGAGAGCTATAGATAAAAGACTTTTGGCCCCTCTGAGCCCCTAATTTGAGGGGTCAGCCCCATTTTCTTAATATCAAATGAAAGGTCTTGTGATGTTGTACATTTTTACTTCAATATGCTTTAACAAATTATGAACAGGTGTGAAGATATGAAACAAAAGGTGTCAAATTTTGTGAGATATTTCTGAGACATTTTTTCGGGCCCTACCGAGCGCCGGCGCCTTTTGCGCTAGAAAGATTTGGAGACCCAATTACAACTCCTTCTTCTATTTTCACTGAAAATCTTAAGTCGATATCTTATGTCGTTTCGGAGGAGTTTCCAGGACAAGCCGACCCTCTGAAAATCAGAAAATCGTCCATATCTCATGACCGGAAGTGTCGTCATCAATATAAAAAATTTCCAATAAGGTTCAGATCAATATCTATTAGATCTGAAAGTTTCAATAAAATCGACCGAGCCGTTTCCGAGAACTCGCGTGCACAAAAATCGGTAAGAAAAAAATAATAACTAGAGCAAAGCTCGTTGCAAAGCAACGAGTGGGTCTTCCTTCTTAGCGATAAGCAGAAAGTGAAATGTTTCAATTGTCAACTTTGCTACCATTCTTTATTTCTTTGACTCAAATAGCAAAAACCTTTCCGGGTTAGAATAATTCCTCAGTACCCCCTTGCTTGTTGTAAAAGGCGACTAAATGGGGCGGTTCTTCAAATGAGACCGTATAAACTGAGGCCCTGTGTCACAGCAGGTGTTGCACAATAAAGATCCCTCCCTGCTCAAAGGTCATAAGTGCCAAGCATATAGGCCTAAATTTGCAGCCCTTCACCGGCCAATGGTGACGTCTCCATATAAGTGAAATATTCTGGAGAGGGACGTTAAACAGTAAACAATCAATCAATCAATTATACTGTAAAAATACAGATATTTACACACATTTATAACCTTAACTATTAGAACTGGTATGTCTTCTCTTGGAAACGGAAGACCTCAATACAGATGTTAACATGCAAGATCTGACACATACTTAAAAAGAATATTTATTCCAAACTAAAAATAGACTCTGTAACAAAATCTATTTCTCTTGAAAAACTGAAAGCAATTGATTTGTTCATATTTGTGGATTTATGTCTGTTTCTCAAATCAAAATTTAAATATGAATATTTAGGCCATACCAATTTGTAAAATAGTTCTTCGGATTTTCAAAAATAAAAAGTGAGGCGAGCGAGCGAAATTTTTTTATTAATATTATTTTTTATTTTGGGTTTCAAAATTATGAGGCGAGCGAATATAATTTATACATATATATATTTTTTAATAAAGTGTTATTTCAAAATGCGTGAACCTAAAAAATATATAAAGATAGATATCATTTGCATACCACATAAACTTATCATTCTTAACTTTTTGGGGATTTTTTTAATAATTAAAAATGTGTCAAATTTCAAAGACTTTACTTTCATAAATGTAATGTTTTCAAACATCTCCTCTGCTTCCATTTCTATTGCTGTGTATGAAACAACTTTGTACCCATTGTTTTTAACTATAGTACACAGTGTTGTGCAATTAAAAATATCAAGTACTAGCCCACAGGCTAGTGGCAAATGCAAAGTTAGCCCAAATACAGGGGCAAAAATTAAAATAATTGAACTATAAAATAATGTTGAAAAAGAAATTAATTGATTATAAAAGTCAGGGTACTGAGCCCTGAGGTCATTCTTTTTAAAGTCAAAGTTTTAATTCTCAATATCAAATTCAGTCATGTTTAAATATTTAAGGAATGACTCTAATTCTTGGCCAAATTATACTCGATAATTTGGCCAAGAATTAGAGTCATTCCTTATAATTTAATTTTAAAATAATTATTCAACTGGGGATGTAAAATTGTGTTGTTTTTATGAGTTCAAATTTACCGCGCAATAATACAACCGTAGTAACGGAAGTTATTTGAAGCGAGGGGAGGTAAAAACTGATACATAGATCTAGCAGCCATGATGTTTGTTCACACGAGGTTAGATCGAGCTATTGTTTGAAGTTGAAGGTACATTTATTAAAACTGGATTTTTCCATAAATCCCAGGACTGGAATTGAGGGGATTGATAGATACAGATGATTCAGCTGGTTGTCAAGGGGGTGTGTCCCCATACCAAACCAGATTATACAAAATGTTATGCGTTCCTTTTTGGAAATCAAACAATGAGAGGCAAGAATACAAACAAAATTAAATTATTATGAAATAAAATTAATATGAACTTCAATAAATTATCTTCCCTTTCTCTGACCATTGCACTAGCTCATTTAGAATGAAATTAAATTCATTTTGTTTTCATCTTAAATCATTCAAAACAAAAGAAATGTATTTTATGTGAGTCACAAAACACTTATCTTTTAGTTGATTGAGTGATCGTAAATAATTTAGAGATATAGCTGCATGTATTTACCATAAACGGAGGAATAGAGGAAATTCGGATTAGGAAAAAACGATCGTTTTTGGAAGTAAATAAGTCAGGTAGTTCTGCAAAACGGATAAGATTATGGAGATTTATTGATAGTAGGAGTATTGTTGTCTGGAAAATATAAACTGGTTGGGAATTTTATAGCCAAAAAACGAGTTAAAATACCGGTTGTGCTTTTCATGTATTGCGTGTGTAGGAATATTTTTTACTAGCCCGACGGGCTACCTCTTTGTAGAGAACCACTATCCCGACCCCCAAAAATGTTAGCCCTGGGTGTCAGGGGATGCTAATTGCACACCCTCTGGTACATATGAACAGTTAAACAGACTGCATGGTGCAAAACTTCACAAACTGCTTCTATCTCACTATAAATCCCGCGCATCTGTCATACAAGTTTCAAAGTTCTTGTGTGTTTGGTGCAAAAAGTCGAGAAAAAAAATTGTAGTCGGATTTTTTTGGAAGCGCGCGCGGACATTTTTTTTTTAATATTATAATTTGCATTTGTAAAAAATAGAAGCGGCGAATCCGACGAACTATATTAGAAATTGGTATGGCCTTAAAGTCAATATCATACATGTAAACTAAGACTGTTTCACATGAATGTTTCAATTTCATTATGCTGTTTATTCCTTGTCATCCCCCAATAGATGCTCTTCTGGCAAATCATGATCGTGCTTGGAATCAAATTTCAGTACTCTGATGACAGTCACACCTATCAAAAAGAAATTGAAATTTTTTATTGAATTTTTTTTTTAAAAAGTGCAACTTATACACTGTTATAAGATAAGATAAACCATCAAACTGAGTTCAAAGATACTGTCACATTTTCCGGTAGTCTATAATTATTTAAAAATATAGGTTTACAGGGAGTCATTTGAAGATGTTATAAAATAACATATTAGTTTTTCATGATTTCAAATAAAGACAAGAGGCCCAAGGGCCTTGAAACGCTCTTCTGATAAATTGTACAACCTATCACTTGTATTTGAAGCCTCTAATCCCAAGTATCCTATTAAAGACCCAAGTTGCATCACCTGACAAAGTTTTATGATTCTTAGCCAATTAGAACTACTTTCTGGTATACATTCTTGGAAATCACAAAATGCATCAAGTGACAAAGTATGATTACTCTAAGCCAATAAATACCTAAGATACTTAAATATAGCCATAAAATGTCAAAGGTAGGTCATTGTGACCTACATTTTGGTTGACATTTTTTAGAGTCCCAAGATGCACCTGCTGACTAAGTTTGATAATTCTAAGCCAATAAATACCTGAGATATTCAAAAGTAGGTCACTGTGACCTACTCTCTGGTCAACATTCTCAGAAAACCCAAGATGCATCAACTGACAAACTTTGATGATTCTTAACCAATAAGTACCAGAGATACTTAAATATAGCCATAAAATGTCGAAAAAAAGGTCATTGTGACCTACATTGTACATTTTTTAGAGTCCCAAGATGCATCTGCTGACCAAGTTTGATAATTCTAGGCCAATAAATATCTGAGATATTTAAAAGTAGGTCACCATGACCTACTTTTAGGTTGACATTCTCCGAAAATCCAAGATGCATCAACTGACAAAGTATGATGATGCTAAACCAATAAGCACTAGAGATACATAAATATAGCCATAAAATGTCAAAAAGTAGGTCACGTTGACCTACTTTTTGGTCTACATTCTTCGAAAACCCAAGATGCATCAACTGACAAACTTTGATGATTCTAAGCCAATAAGTACCGGAGAATAATTAAATATAGTTATAAAATGTCAAAAGTAGGTCATCGTAACCTACATTTTGGTTGACATTTTTCAGAGTCCCAAGATGCATCTGCTGACCAAGTTTGATAATTCTAAGCCAATAAATACCTGAGATATTCAAAAGTAGGTCACCATGACCTACTTTTTGGTCGAAATTCTCAAAAACCAAAGAGGCATCAACTGACAAAGTATGATGATTCTAAACCAATAAGTACTAGAGATACATAAATATAGCCATAAAATGTCAAAAGTAGGTCATCGTGACCTACTTTTTGGTTGACATTCTCGGAAAACCCAAGATGCATCAACTGACAAAGTTTGATGATTCTAAGCCAATAAGTACTGGAGATGCTTAAATATAGCCATAAAATGTCAAAAGTAGGTCACCGTGACCTAATTTTTAGTTGTCACTATCCGAAAACCCAAGATGCATCAACTCACAAAGTTTGATGATTCTAAGCCAATAAATACCTAAGATACTTAAATATAGCCATAAAATGTCGAAAGTAGGTCACCGTGACCTACATTTTGGTCGACATTTTTCAGAGTTAAAAGATGCATCTCCTGACCAAGTTTGATGATGTAGGTTTGAAGGTAATCAAAATGTGCCTTTTAAACAATTTGAAAACAAATGCCTGCAAAATTCTAAACGTAGGTCACGGTGACCTACTTTTTCTTAAATATGTTTTAAGGTCCCATGATGCAGCAACTTACAAAATTATATGATTCTAACCCTTTCAGTGCCTGAAATAATGGGATTAAATGTTTTAAAAAGGATAAGTCATAAAGTTCAAAAAGTAGGTCACGGTGACCTACTTTTAAGTTGACGTTGTTCAAGGACCCAAGATGCATCAACTGACTAAGTTTGATGATCATAGGCCTTAAAGTATCTAAAATATGCCTTTAAATCAATTGGAAAACAAATGCCCGCAAAATTTAAAAAGTAGGTCACCGTGACCTACTTTTGAGTTAACATGATGTAAAGTCCTAAGATGCATCAACTTACAAGATTTGATGATCCTAGTCCTTATAGTAAGCAAAATATGAACATTTTTATTAATTGTAAATTTAGGTCAACTTTAAAGTGACCTTGAGACCACGCCCTTTGCCCCAGGGTCATGCCTTGAACAATTTTTAATCTTCAACACATCCTGATCCTTGTATGTAAGTTTGGTGAAAATCTGCCTGGTGGTTCTGGAGAAGAAGATTTTTTAGCAACCAGTACTTTTGGTTTTGTTTTCCTGATTATCTCCCCTTGTTTCAGGGTCCCAACCCTTATTTTAGTATAAATGGTAGCCCTTGGGCCAAGGATACCCTGTGACAAATTTGAAACTGATTGGCCAAGGGGTTCTTGAGTTATGGTCCATATTCTAAAAAGTTAACGCACACCGCACGACGCACACCGCACACCGCACAAATGGCCATAGCATTAGCTCTTTGAGCCTTTGGCTCAGAAGAGCTAAAAATGTACATTACTTGTTCATATCAAAATTTATCAGGAATGGTAATGGTTAACAGTTGTTAACCGACTAATTAGCCAAAAAGATGGTATCCAGTTATGATTTTTTTATGTGTCAGGATAAGACCATTCGTAAAGGTGTTACAGCAATGAAGAACAATGCGCTAATGAAGTGACAAAATGCTATTGCATAAGGAACAAAGAGCTAGCGCAAAGTAACAATGTGGCTCTAGCTCATTTATAACACCATGCTAGTAAGTTTATGACAACATTCTGGCCAGTTTAAGACACTTACAAGGTAGCATGAAGTAAAAATGTGCTACAACACTAGTGTGTTTATGACAGCACAATGACAATGTACTTGTGCATTGTAACAATGTTGCAGCAGGCTTTTACACCACACAGTCAAGATTACATGTAATAGATTGTGTAAAGCTGTGTTGGCATGGCAGCATATTTTGTGTCAGCACAAGTTCATGTTATTTTAAGTTGCCTAAGCCTGTGTTAGCACATTGTTCCTAAACATGCTGAAGCACTTTTACAATTAGCCTTATCTGGACACCATAATTTTCATAACCAACTAGCCATGTTTTTTTTGTAAAAGTACATGTACCATGTGTACCAGGGTACATGTAAATCATTTTATTTTTAGATTTCCATATGTTTTAAAAAGACAAGGAATAAAATGATATTTTCTATAAGCTTCTATTCATTATAAGTGTTTGCCAAAGCATTTTTTCCTATATAACCAAAATACATCTTTGTCTTAATGGTAGCCTAGTGGTAGGGCATTCCCTTTATATAATCCTGAAGTTTAGCTTGATTTCTAGCCGGACTCATTGCTACGAAGTTCAACAGGAAATGCTGCTTCATCACATCTTAATTAAATTTACACATTAAAATATAGTACATTTGCGCAATCAAATTTGAGGCAATACAAACACTGATTACAGAATTAAATTTTCAAAGTTATCAGAAATTGTCAAAAAATAATTATAATAATGTACTTTCTACAGTCTTCTTGGATTAATTATTTGTTTAAAATATGCAAAAGGTTTTCATCACTATGGATGTGTGCGCCATATTCTATAAATAAAGGTTGTATTGTCAGTCTAACACAAATGCGGTAAACATTATTAATTACTTGATGTACGCTTTGATGCAAATTCTCAGCTGAGGACACATCAGTGCATAATCGTTTGACCTTAAATAATCTTGCTGCATTAGTGTTTATTTACTTCTGTTGGTATATAAATCCCTGAAACCGCCTCAAACGATACATGTGATGAATATTTTATGCTGTTAAATTCTATAATAATTTTATTTAATTTTAAAACTTTTTAATACTATATATATGCCATAGAGATATTTTTGTGGATAACATATCCTCTCAATGTCTGAATTTGTTTTTAAACTCTCATCACGGTCTTTGTTCATTACCCTGTAAATGAGCCCAGCTTTCAGTACTTCTGAGTACTTTGATTATTCACTGCATCAAACTTAAGACAAAAACATGATGCAGTAATGTTACTTAACCATGCACCCAGCATTTGAAGTGAATGAGACCTTAAAAACCTCATAGTACATGTTAGGACAATGTCACTGAGTTCCAAATAAAGGTCTAAATAAAAACTATTTACCGGTATATATTAACACCTCTAAATGAGTGAAGGAGTGAAAATTCTCAAATAACATTACCAATCAAAGTACCAATAAGAAGCTGATTCTTACATCACAGGTTCCAATCCCATTGCTAAATGCTTCAGACGGGTTACTCCAATGAGACCGCATACATCGAGATTCAGTGTCAAAAGGATCCCTTACTTCTCAAAGGCAATAAGTGCTGAGTACAAGTCTATATTTGCAGCTTACTATCCCAAGTGGTGGCATCATCAAATGACTGGAAAATGTTTGATAGGCCAATAATCAAACAAACCATTCCTGCAGTCATCTAAAAATAAGCAAACTTTCTATTATTACAATTGTTTTTACATCTTTCTTTTGAGATTTAACTAAGCAACAATTGTGCAATTTTTTGTCAATAAATTTTGATACTAAAGACTTTGTTTGAACAGCTATTTATAGCAATTACAGACAGCAGCACGAAGCGCTGCTCATAATGCAAGCTCTCATGACAACGCCTTGGTGAAGAGAAAATTATCACTTGCTTATTGATCCACACAATTTCTTTTCCGCAGTAACTTTGGACCCACAGTGCTTTGATTCTTAAAGATACATTCTTGCAAGAATTGATCAAAGTTTCCAAAAAATAAATTCACCTTGATTTAATGGATAAATTGCAGATAAATAGTGGGGGGAAAAATTCTTCATTAAAGTCAGCACTATTCAAGTTTTAGACTGGTAATGTCAGGCCAGCTAACTTACACCACGACATCGTGTGACTTCAAAGTCTAGTGCCCTGTTCACATGGAGAGTTTAATTCGCAGTAAATGATTGCAAAGTAAACTAATGCGAATCAAACTAATGGGAATCAAACTGTGTTAACATGACATCTAATGCAAATTAAACAAATGCGAATAAAAATTTTACTTCTACAGTCAAGTGTCAGTAAGGCTACCCACTCAAAAATAGCACAATTAAGTACTTAAAGCTGACCACCAATTTGAATTAATTTTGCCATTACAAATGCCTCAAAATTTAATTCGAATAAGCTTCCCTTTGTGTTCACATGGAGCTAATGCAAAGTAATTTAATTTGCAGTAAATTAATTCGAATTAATAAAACTAATTTGAATTAAACTCCCCCTGTGTACAGAGCATCGATGCACCAAATATCAAGTGCGGTTTGACAAGCCCGATCTAAATTAAAACTGAATAAGTATCTGCCCTCACCCTAAAAGTCACACCGTCAACATATTGTTACGGTGTATATTCAACAAATAATAGAGAGGTTGAGATTTCAAACGTGTACATGTACGGGTACGTCTAGTAGGGTAATAACCTAAATTCTGTGTGTATTACGTCATCAATTTTAGTGACGTCAAGATTGCAATAAGTTCTTAAAACTTGTAGAATGGAATCTACACGTAAGTGAAAACATGTAGCTTTAATAATAAAAATTAGCCAATTTAAGTGTGAAGATGTGATTGTTATGCATTATATAGGATGTTTACTTTCACAAGCACTTATTTTCATCAAGTTTTGTTTACTAACTGACGACAAAAAACCTTCTAAATAGTTGAAACAGAGACACCGATGGCGGTGTACACGTACATGTTACACGTCATAAAAATCTCAACAGACAAATTTTAAAAAAACGTGTAAGTGTACTTCAAAATATATACAAGTACACGTACGCGTACAAGTTTAAGATCTCAACCTCTCTATTAAGTGTAGTGTAAATTAACCCTCCATGGTTACTGCGGTATTGCTCTTTTGCAGGGCAAAATAATAACGTTTGGCAAAGTTTTTGTTGAGAGATAATTAAATGACATATATTTAACAATTACTTATATGTCATATTTCACCAAACTATATCATTTTGCCCTGCAAAAGAGCAGTACCGCAGTTACCGTGAAACGGTCTATAAGAGTATCACTATGATGGATAGTGGAGTGTTGAATTTTTTGTTTTGAAAGTGAGTCTTGTTGAAATTAAATGCTCACATATATTTAAATAAAAAATAAAAAGCTGTTGGGATTTTAAAGGCTAACAGAAAGCGTCTGAGCGTTAAAACAGATAATGTATCGGTGTGTCTGTGTATTTTTAAAAATATCAATGCTCTAACAGCTGTCTAAGCTGCCATAGTAATTTAAATTTTAGGTAAAATAAATTTCTAACCTTCATTCCGATAGTCCATGCCAATCAAACTTTAAAATGTCACCGTCGACTCTTTCATCACTCGATACATTTATCACTGGGAACCACGAACCAGAGTCAAGAGTGCTCAGCTTGTTAATTTAACAGTCGGAATTTCCTCGTAAACAATTCACACAAAAATTTATAAATCGGATAATTCTGCTGAAAATAATGCTCCAGAGGATTGATAAAGTACTTCGTAGCTGCAGATTAAATGTGCATGCATGTCTACATACGGTCTGTGGCTTGTGTGGTAAGAAATGCTCAACTTCACATGATTTCCAACTTTCAGTTTGTAAACATGTGTCCGACTTTTGGGACACACTAATAACCGGATATACGAGAGACCTGATATTTACCTGATGTTTTTATTTTAGATTAAATGACAATATTGAGTACTTCAAATGACTTATTTAAATACTTTATGACTATGATGCAAAATGATATACAGAAATTCGTTTGTTTGGAATATTTACTGACGATTTTGAATCAGGTCAAATAAGGTTTTTAGTATATCAGGTCTTTAGTACCTTCCCATTTCCCACAATGCCACGCGTTGTTTACAAACAAGAGGCCCCGAAAAGACTTCCTCTTAACTAATGCAGAAATATTTTGATTTTACCTATTGTTGTATACAACATCACATTATATTTCTTATTTAAATAAAAAGAAAACAGAGAAACACCGAATCAAAATAATATCTTTCAGATGCATCGATCAACTAAAACTATGCAAGAGGCCCAGTAAAGGCTTGGCTATAGTAGACAACTTGTTCCTGTAAGGTTTCTCACATATTTGTTTTATAAAGAGTATTAAATATAGCTTGAAGTTTATTTCTCTTTATATCAAACGACAAGATTTAATCAGTTCTAAATTATTTCAGTCAAACTTTTTCATAATAAACCAATATTTTTAGCTAACAGAAAAAAACGTGTATGAGTTATTAACCCCTAATTATAGGGGCCAGCCCCTTTTCCTTGATCTTATATGAAAGCTCTTGTAATTTTGCACAACTTTTGTAATATATTTCTTACCAAATTATTCACGGTTCAAAAGTTATTATACAAAAAGAAGCAAAATTTCATGGAAAAAAATTACTTAAATTTGCCGTCACATAGCTTCCGATCTTTAGGAAATCAGCTTATAATTTTATCGTTATGCACATCTACAATGTATTGGCTACAAGTTCTCCAACTTTCATGTAATTATCATAAGTGGTTCTTGAGTTTATTAGTGGACACGAGACATCAAAATTATCAATTAAAGGGCAATAACTCACAAAGTAAGGCATGTATCAAAAAATTGAAAGCAGATGTAAATAGGTGTAAATACAAGGTATCAAACCTGAAAGTTTCATAAAAATCAGTCCAAAGGTCTTTGAGAAATCGCCTGTCAAAAATCCGGCGGGAAAAAAAAAGCAAATAATAATAAGAAACAGTAGAATAACAGTAGGGTCTTCCGAAGGAAGCTCGGAAGACCCTAATAATAGGGAAAAAGAAACCGAACGAAAACAATAAGGTCTTCCGTTGGAAACGGAAGACCTTAACTAGAGCAAAGCTCGTTGCAAAGCAACGAGTAGGTCTTCCGTCCTGTTTGACCAGAAGTAGTTTTCATTTTTAGCGAATATGAGAAATAACGCCCAAAAAATGAGGTTGAATCCTCAAATTCTATGTTAATTAGTGCAAAAATAAGCCATTTTTTGCTACTTCCGGTTTGACAGGAAGTGACGACGACGGACAGAAAATTTATTTTTATGTTCCTAGTGACATAAGATACCCAAACTTGTCAAACTTGTCAAGATTGACCAAAATACGCGTTTTCCGACTACTTCCGGTTTTGCCGGAAGTGACGTC